TGTCAAATTAACGAAAGGAAAAGATAAAGTGCATAAGGTCGAAAAACGAAAGTTGAATAAATACTCGAAGATGCATGATCTTCAGAATCATGAAGGTGAAAAGGAAAATATTCAAAATGAATATGTTTATGAAAGATTCTCTAGGAATATCCAAGAACCACCAGTAGTGTATAAAGAAAGAGATTTAATGTCAGAAATGGGTATTTTGTATGAATTCTTGACCAGAGGCATAGATGCAGAAGATGTTGAATATTTAAGAAGAAGTTATGAAGCTTTATTAGCGGACGACGCTCAAGGATATTGGTTAAACGATACTCATTGGGTTGATCATCCTGCAACTGATATACCAAGTCCAGCTAAGAGAAGAAAACGAGATGAATTAAGATTACATGCAACTGGAAGTGCTAGAACCGAGGGATATTATAAAGTGGATCTAAGGGAGAAAGCGAAGCATAAAGTAATGAATTATTCTTACAATTAATTCTATATCATTTATCTATATATCAATTTATAATTGATTATTTATAATTAAATTTAATCTCTTCATCCATTATACAGCATCATTATGCACAAAGCATACAACGTTCTGATGATGTAGAAGAGAGTGGTGGTACTTATACAGGAGGAGATAGCGTAATAAATGGTCAAAAGGGTAATACGAAAGCATTGACTGGTAAGATGCAAGCTTTGTCGCGAGAAGCACGAAGTAATCAACGTCGTCTATTAACTGCATTTGGAATAGACACAGACAGTGATCTCCTTAAGTTTAATCAATTAAAGGTATGAATACCAAGCTTCATTAAATTTTCCTTTTTATGAGGAAAGATTCATATTATTATTATTATTATTATTATTATTATTATTATTATTATTATTATTATTATTATTATTATTATTATTATTATTATTATTATTATTATTATTATTATTATTATTATTATTATTATTATTATTATTATTATTATTATTATTATTATTATTATTATTATTATTATTATTATTATTATTATTATTATTATTATTATTATTATTATTATTATTATTATTATTATTATTATTATTATTATTATTATTATTATTATTATTATTATTATTATTATTATTATTATTATTATTATTATTATTATTATTATTATTATTATTATTATTATTATTATTATTATTATTATTATTATTATTATTATTATTATTATTATTATTATTATTATTATTATTATTATTATTATTATTATTATTATTATTATTATTATTATTATTATTATTATTATTATTATTATTATTATTATTATTATTATTATTATTATTATTATTATTATTATTATTATTATTATTATTATTATTATTATTATTATTATTATTATTATTATTATTATTATTATTATTATTATTATTATTATTATTATTATTATTATTATTATTATTATTATTATTATTATTATTATTATTATTATTATTATTATTATTATTATTATTATTATTATTATTATTATTATTATTATTATTATTATTATTATTATTATTATTATTATTATTATTAATTATTATTATTATTATTATTATTATTATTATTATTATTATTATTATTATTATTATTATTATTATTATTATTATTATTATTATTATTATTATTATTATTATTATTATTATTATTATTATTATTATTATTATTATTATTATTATTATTATTATTATTATTATTATTATTATTATTATTATTATTATTATTATTATTATTATTATTATTATTATTATTATTATTATTATTATTATTATTATTATTATTATTATTATTATTATTATTATTATTATTATTATTATTATTATTATTATTATTATTATTATTATTATTATTATTATTATTATTATTATTATTATTATTATTATTATTATTATTATTATTATTATTATTATTATTATTATTATTATTATTATTATTATTATTATTATTATTATTATTATTATTATTATTATTATTATTATTATTATTATTATTATTATTATTATTATTATTATTATTATTATTATTATTATTATTATTATTATTATTATTATTATTATTATTATTATTATTATTATTATTATTATTATTATTATTATTATTATTATTATTATTATTATTATTATTATTATTATTATTATTATTATTATTATTATTATTATTATTATTATTATTATTATTATTATTATTATTATTATTATTATTATTATTATTATTATTATTATTATTATTATTATTATTATTATTATTATTATTATTATTATTATTATTATTATTATTATTATTATTATTATTATTATTATTATTATTATTATTATTATTATTATTATTATTATTATTATTATTATTATTATTATTATTATTATTATTATTATTATTATTATTATTATTATTATTATTATTATTATTATTATTATTATTATTATTATTATTATTATTATTATTATTATTATTATTATTATTATTATTATTATTATTATTATTATTATTATTATTATTATTATTATTATTATTATTATTATTATTATTATTATTATTATTATTATTATTATTATTATTATTATTATTATTATTATTATTATTATTATTATTATTATTATTATTATTATTATTATTATTATTATTATTATTATTATTATTATTATTATTATTATTATTATTATTATTATTATTATTATTATTATTATTATTATTATTATTATTATTATTATTATTATTATTATTATTATTATTATTATTATTATTATTATTATTATTATTATTATTATTATTATTATTATTATTATTATTATTATTATTATTATTATTATTATTATTATTATTATTATTATTATTATTATTATTATTATTATTATTATTATTATTATTATTATTATTATTATTATTATTATTATTATTATTATTATTATTATTATTATTATTATTATTATTATTATTATTATTATTATTATTATTATTATTATTATTATTATTATTATTATTATTATTATTATTATTATTATTATTATTATTATTATTATTATTATTATTATTATTATTATTATTATTATTATTATTATTATTATTATTATTATTATTATTATTATTATTATTATTATTATTATTATTATTATTATTATTATTATTATTATTATTATTATTATTATTATTATTATTATTATTATTATTATTATTATTATTATTATTATTATTATTATTATTATTATTATTATTATTATTATTATTATTATTATTATTATTATTATTATTATTATTATTATTATTATTATTATTATTATTATTATTATTATTATTATTATTATTATTATTATTATTATTATTATTATTATTATTATTATTATTATTATTATTATTATTATTGTTATTGTTATTGTTATTGTTATTGTTATTGTTATTGTTATTGTTATTGTTATTGTTATTGTTATTGTTATTGTTATTGTTATTGTTATTGTTATTGTTATACATTATTAACATTGCAGTTCAGAAAGAAACAATTGAAGTTCGCGAAATCTGGCATTCATGATTGGGGCTTGTTTGCTATGGAACCAATTGCGGCGGACGAAATGGTCATAGAATACGTAGGACAAATGGTTAGGCCAGTTGTTGCCGATTTAAGGGAGTCTCAATATGAAGCTACAGGCATTGGTAGTTCTTACCTATTTCGTATTGATCTGGATACGATCATTGATGCAACAAAATGTGGCAATCTAGCAAGATTCATTAATCACAGTTGCAATGTGAGTATTTCCAAATAAATTCACCTTCTCTTTCACAAATATTTTACTTTTAACCGTTGTCGTATCATCAATGTTTTTCAATATTTTTAGCCAAATTGCTATGCAAAAGTGATTACTATAGAAAGCCAAAAGAAAATTGTAATCTACAGTAAACAACCGATAGGAGTTAACGAAGAAATAACTTATGATTACAAATTTCCATTGGAGGATGACAAAATACCCTGCCTTTGTGGAGCTCCGCAGTGTCGGGGTACTCTCAATTAAAAAGTTCATCGAGCTACATTGTTCATCCCTCTTTCCTATCTTCTACACTTCACCATGTCCTGCTCATATTTTTGTAAATACTTCTTCATGTAAACATTTTATAAAAATGCTATCGAAAAATACTAAATTATACTTGTGAGACTTTTTTTAAAGATCATTCTTTCTAAGCGAGTTATTAGTTTTTTATATTATCGAATTATATATGTTTGTGCGTGTATGTGTGGATGTATATATTTATACACATATATATACACACAAACACACATGACACACAAGTAGTCCGTTAAATTGAGACGAAATGAGACGAGATATTTCGCAAATCATTATAATTTCTAAACTACACAGTTGCAAAATTCTATTTACTTTAAATCGTTTTAATCGTTTACATGCGCATTTTATAAGCGCACAAATTTTAGCAATAACATTCATTTGTGTCGATTATCTAAGAGTATATATTTAATATCTTTGCTAGAAATATATCCATTGCTTACACTTTTAATGACTGTTCTACAACTCTGCGTTTATGACAACGCGACATTTGCGCAGAAGCGAAAATGATAATGTGAGGCACAATTTCCATTAAGCTACCAGTATAAATTGCAAGACAAAAAAAAATAGGGCAAAGTATTATAATACCTGATGGTACTGTACACTTTAAAATAGTAAAATTTATGAGTGATATCAATTTGTACCTCTCCCAAGCCTAAATTATTATTAAATTGTTATTAATTTTTCTTATCTCAATTTATTTGCATTACCAATGAAAACGGCAATAAGCGAGTACGAACGGTGCTTTTCCTACTTCTTCCATGTATATGTATCTATATACTTCTGTGTTTAAAAATCTATTGATCTTGGATGAAAATAAATCTGGATAATTACATCGATTACTTGTATCCACAATATTTTTTAATTTAATTCAATGTAATTAAAAACATAGTTGAAGTGGCGCACTCTGGCTCCCTAAAGACTTCTCATTGGTCAATCAAAATGTGAAACGCCATAAGAAAGTGCAATAAATATTTCATTCGATGTTACTATGCGATATGAACTCGCAATTGGATGCGTACGTTATCGTAAATAATCGGAATATTTGTTTACAATAGAAATTAAACTATGTGTGATCTTTAATGATAATTAAAGAGTCGGCATTTTTGATATAAAGAAACGACAGTTATTAATTCGATATGTTATCTCATTTCAAATCGATTTGTTGGATATATTGACTTTATGGCTCATGCAACAGATTAGTAATGGATATTGAATATCATTTGATTCGCTTTTTTTAAAAATTTTGCAATCTTATTTTATACAATTGACATTTAATATATACATATACATAAATAATATATATGTATATATATATATATATATATATATATATATATATATATATAAAATTTATATTTCAACAGTTTTAATAAAATATAGTACTACGAGAACAACGGATATGTACAATTTTTAACGGAAAGATTTGACGTATAAATGAACAATTAACTATTTCCCCATCATCATAATTTAAAGCCGGTCAAAGTGTAATCTTACAGTATCAGTTTACAATATCAAAGATGGAAACGCGTGCTGAACTTATTGCTGAAATTCGCGAAAAATTCTTTAAAAAATTGGAGGAAGAAAGACCATCTGACCCTAGTATGTATATCAAATTGTTATAATTTATAGAAAAATAATTTGTATATTTTTTTCTATTATTTCTATAGCGCGTGTGCATGGATAAGTTAGTTAATTCATTATTTATAACAATAATAATTGATTGTATGTGTGCACAAGTCAATAAAAAATTAAACATCAAAATAACCTTCTTGTAATCATGATTATTTATTTTAGGAGGTTTTCATCCAGCAGATATGGATAGAATAAAATATAATGATGATTGGTTAAAGAGATTCTTAGAACATAATGAAAATGATCTACAAGAATCTCTATCTATGCTTTGGGAATCTTGTACTTGGAGAAGAAAAGTTGGTGCAAATGGTAAGTATCATATATTTAACTTAAATTTATTCATTTCTTTGAATTACTCGGTTTAAAAGTAATTCCATACATGCAATCACAATTATTATAATATATAATCAAATAATAACATATTAACTTATCAATATTATCTTCTGGTATCGACATTTAGACATTTCAGAGGATAATGTCAGAAAAGACTATCTAGAAGAAGGAGTGATTTTTAGTTATGGTAAAGATAAAGATGGCAAATCTCTTTTTATTGTTAGATCTAAACTATATGTTAAGGGAGCAAAGGACTTTGGGGAACTTCAGAGATGCATCATTTATTGGTTTGAAAGATTAGAAAGGTAAATTTATTTTATCTTTTTATTAATAAAAGTAATTCATTTTTCGGATACAAATATACAACGTTTAACTTATAATTAAATGCATTTATCGATCTATTGTGTATATTAATAGGGAAGGAAATGGAAATCAAATATCAATTTTTTTTGATATGGCGGAGACCGGCCTTTCAAATATGGATATGGAATTCACAAAATACTTGATTGGTTTATTCAAATCTTATTATCCAAATTTTCTAAATTATATCATAATATTTGAAATGCCCTGGGTATTAAATGCAGCTTTTAAGATAATTAAGTCATGGTTACCTGCTAAAGCAATACCAAAGATAAAATTTGTTAATAAATCTAATTTAAAAGATTTTGTGGATCCAAATGATATACTTAAATATTGGGGCGGTACAAATGATTATACTTTTACTTTTGTCTCGGAAGAACGAACGAGTACAGAAAATGCAATAAATAACAAACTAGATAACAAAAAGGTATGTATTTTTTATTCGAATATATTGAACAAGTATAATTTTATTTAATGTGCAGGTACATTTCGTTGAAAGTTCTCCATTAACAGAACAACCCCCAAGTGGATTTGGAGATCAAGTAAATGAAGAACAATGTAAGTACCCATGATTTACAGATATAGGTAATTAAAGTAATAAAGTTTATATAAAATAAAATTATATATTGTATTGTTATAAAAAGGAATTTATTTTATTTTTTAAATTGCTCTTTTCAGTACTCTCAATTGAACCAGAAGCAGTTACCTTCAACAAAGAAGGAAATGAAATCATTGGCAGAATTATATTAAAAAATGTCACGATAGATAAACCTTTATCTTACAAAGTACAGTTAAATATTTTTTTTTGTCATTTCCAACGATTTATCGTGTATATCAATTATTCATAATTTGAAAAATGTTTTATTAAATTTTAGATTAAAACTACATCACCACAGAAATTTAGGGTAAGACCAAGTTCAGGTATTATATCACCTTCAGAACGGTGCAGTGTTACAGTCGTTTTTCAACCGGGATACAATCTACGTGGACTCTCGAATAATGATAGATTTCTGGTAATGTGTCTTCCTGTTAAAAATGCTGCTGCAACCGCACAAGAATTAACGACAATATGGAAGGTGTGGACAAAATATATTTGCACATTTATGATACGGCATAAAATATTATGTCATATAATATTATGTTATATATGTCATTTATGTATAGTCTGGTAAACCTGCTGAGCAACACAGATTAAGATGTTGCGATGGTGCAAATGAGAACAATGAGGTACAGAAAACGTATTCTATATTGTCATCTGGTTCCATAGAAGAGAATCGTACGATAGATGCACTTTGCTCTAAGGTATATGGAATAAAAATTAATATATCATCATGGGTTCAGTTATTTCAAATTATATATTACATGCAAATATTTTAGGTAATTCATTTGGAAGAAAATTGCAACAAATTATACAAGGAATTAAAATATCTCCAAATATTCTCTATAATATTGACAGTCCTAATGGCAATTGCAGTTATATATATTTTAAGAATTGATATACAAAATGCTGATCTTGAAAACTGCCATATTCATCGTGGTATATAAAATATATGTTAAAACATGAAATCTAGTCTAAAATATATGAGACCATTTCTTGGTATGGTTTTTATAAAATTCAAGTATTTAGGTGTGGATACATTTTGCTAAAAATCGTTATTCTTATTAGATTACTATAAAGAAAAAGAAAGGAGGGGGAAAAAAACAAAAAAAAAAAAAAAAACAAAAACATTGTTATAGAATTATATTTATCTCAAATTTCGACTATGTCTAATATGTTTACTTGTCCCATTTCATATTTTTTGACATTAAACAATAAATATTGTGAGCTTTGTTATAAAATTCATCTTAATATTACTCCCTAAAATATCACGGCTAAGCCATTTTTGTAAATTTCATATAACTTCAATTATATTTTGTAAATTTTATATTATATGTAGATATATAAATCTTTAGTCTATGATTATTCGTTTATTTTTTTAATGTGAAGTAATAACTACCTTTTTTGACATTCATTCGAAAATTCTAAAATTTTTTTGCGATTTGATCAATATTTGACATTTATGAAATTATATTATTTCATAAATAAAAAATATCTACAATATTTATGATTTCTATAAACGAGATAAAATTTAAAAATTTCCCGCCTAAAAAACGTTCAAAAACGTATTTTTATGACACTGCAAATGAATCTACAATAACCTAGTACGTGTCCTCCCTGTTGATGCTCACTTCTTCCCGCTCTTTCTTCGTGGCATCATTTTTCATTCGGCGATTGCACGTTGATTTCGTCACGTCTAAAACATCGCGTTGAAAGTTCGGTCGCGTTTACGACATTCAAAGCGCATATTCAACGAATTTTTTTAATCGAAAGAATTCGTTGGATAAGAAGAGCAATTCAGACGATTGCGTCCCATAGAACGAAAGGTGATTTGGAAATGCTTCGGTGCCCGGAAATAGCCGAACCGATGACGATGGTAACATTGGTAGTGGTGATGGTGGCAGCAGTCGTTCAGTGTAAACACGACGAGTGACGCGTACCAGCGCGCAGCTGCCAACGCGCAGCATTTGAACCTTCCTTACCACTTTGTAGTTCGATCAGCCATATTGCCCTCTGGATCTTACACAACGCCCTCACACGAACGACCGCGAGTTTACGAGGTAAGCGAATATTTCGATAATTTAGCTATCCTGGATGTTCACGCTTCGCGTGTTCGACGAGTTCATTTATTCGTGTGCTCGAACGTTTAAGATTAAGCTCGTAAGTGACGACGTTCACCGATAACGAAAGAAACGCGGGAAATGGGTAAGTTGTGCCAAGCGCGTAGCAGTACGGAAGGTATTCCTCTCGGTCGCGTCCTCCATATTGATGACAGCGCCGACGGTGATAATTTTCTGAAATTTTTGTCGTTAATGCCCCCTGTGTCCTGAAATCGAAAGCAACCGCGTTGTCTTAAAAGCTCCCCGACAGAATGCGCGACTTCGGGGTCCTCGACGTCGAGAACCGTGAAGCCGCGATCACGGGCTCCCCCAGGTCCATCCTCGACCGCATTTCTCTACTGATCGCGCGCAACCTTTCCATCACCGAACCCCTTCGACGCTCCTCCGACCTCCCGATTTCGTCCATGGCGTCCTCTTTCTCCTCTCCCGCACGCGCCCGAGTTATCTTTCATGTTTCCTCGTTGCTACAAATGGAGCGATCCGGCATCGTCGAGGAATTGCGATTCCACGACGCACATTTGATCGCCCGACAAAATACATGTTCTTGTCCTTGTAAGAAAGAGATACCTTTCGAAATTACTGTTGAACCAGCCCTCTCTATCTCTCTCTTTCTCTCTCCCCCCCTTCCCTTCCACTCCCCCTCCCCTCTCCCTTTGCTCTCTTCGCTCTCCTACGCGAATCACCTTCTCCTTTTCTTATCATGATTATTGATTTTTCTTTAATTTTAAAATACTACTACGATTCGCGTTTTATCGCACCGTCTTATCAGCGTTATTTTCGTTTTTTCCCCGTGTCTTTTCTTGTTTCCCTCTTTTACGACGACATAATGAAGTCGTTGGCATATATCATTGCGGCATTTGTTCTCGTCACGCTTCATGTTCTTCCATTATTTTTTTTCTTGTGATCGATTATTTTCTTCCTTTAGCTCATAGATGTATGCCTCCCTAAATGCTTTCCTTGCGATCAAACGGGGATGAGAGTCGCGGGATGTAAGGCGTAAAAATGATTTCTGTCGCATTTCGTGCGATCTATTTGTAGATTCGTATGATACAAAATCTTCAGTCTTTAGATAAGCCGTTTATTTGTAGTAATTCTAATGAGACAAAAGTATATTCATAACATTTTCGATTACACAATATATTTTTATCTTATTGATTTTTTTCCTTATCCTGTGCTAAAATCGAATATGCAATTGATATTTTTTAATTTCCTGTTATATATCTACGATACTCAAGATTATTGCAGAATTAAAAATATTCTACTTAGATATTTTGTATTTTATTAGAGTTATTATAATATTTATATATAATGCTATTAAAGTAAGAAACTTTAGTAATTCATTATAACAATTCCATCTACTTTTCTGTATATAATTTGGCCTTTTTTATGGCTTCTAATTCACAAAGCATTAGTAATTAAATATTTCTATGTTAATGTTGCAGATTTATAAGAAAAACGTACTCTTGCATGAATTAATGGTATGATCATGACGAGTAACGTTGCAGCGATAAAATTGGAAGAGGGGCAGGAATCTGTAACAGAGATTCAAACCTATCTCGAAACGTTTAACAAAGAAATAGAAGGCGGACAAGGCGAGCAACTACAACATGTGCAGTGTTAGTTGATATAACAAAATTATATTTGACAATCACGAATATGTAAAAAGAATTATACAGATATATGTATGTGTTTATGATTATAGTGCAACAAGTGGAAGGATTGTCAGGTGGAGAAGAAGGTGGTACTTACTTTGTCGATCAATCAGGTCAATATTATTATCAGGCTAATAGCGATGAAACCCCTGTGATGACACAAGTACAAATTCAAGAAGTTGAAGAAAGTGACGTTCATCAAGAGGGTGAAGTAACTCAAGAAGAACAATATCATGAGATAGAAGAGTTGGAAAATGTTGATGGAGATGAGGATGTAAGAAATGATCTCTACTATACCTTTGCTTCTATATTTATTTTATGAGTTTATTTCTTTTTTCGTTTTTCCGCTATACCTTTCTTTTTTAGGGTCAAGTGTCAAACAATGGAAATAATCAAGTTGTAATTAATTCTGGGGATGCCTATCAGACTGTTACTATAGTACCATCTGACACTAATCCTGGTGAAGTGAGTTATGTTTTGATTGTACAACAACCAGAATCTGAGGACAAAGAAAGTAGACCTACCGAAGGTGAAGTTGGTGAGGTAGAGGAGGCAGAAGGTGAACAGGATTTAACTGTTTATGATTTTGAAGATAATGAGGATAATGAAGCTCCTGTAGAGTCAGAAGTAGAAGATGATAAAACTAAAATAATTAAATTTCTTCCAAAGAAATCTCAAACTGTTACTCAGGCACATATGTGTAATTATTGTAATTATACCAGTCCAAAACGGTACGTTTTATAAACAGCATTTGTTTAATTCACATTATATAAATATAAAATGATTTATTTTAAACCTGATTTAATATGTAGATATTTGCTGTCACGACATATGAAATCTCATTCAGAAGAAAGACCACATAAGTGTAGTGTTTGTGAAAGGGGATTTAAAACTTTGGCTTCCCTTCAAAATCATGTTAATACGCATACTGGAACCAAACCCCATCATTGCAAATTTTGTGATAGTGCATTCACTACATCCGGTATATATTATGCTTTCTAAATAATTTTTGTATAAGCTTTATTTTCAAGCAAAAATTGAATATCAATAAGTTTCTATTTTAAGGTGAACTTGTGAGACATGTACGGTACAGGCATACTCATGAAAAACCGCATAAATGTCAAGAGTGTGATTATGCCTCAGTCGAGTTATCTAAACTAAAGCGACATATAAGGTGCCATACAGGAGAACGCCCATATCAGGTACAAGCATAGTTGCCAGTAATTTTCCTTTTTTTCATTTTCAAAATTTAATTCTTTTAAAAAAATTTCTTTTGAATGACAATCTTCAATTATTTTTAGTGTCCACATTGTACATATGCAAGTCCAGATACCTTTAAATTAAAACGTCATCTTCGTATACATACTGGTGAAAAACCATATGAATGTGATTTTTGCCAAGCAAGGTTTACGCAATCAAATAGTTTAAAAGCACACAAGTTAATTCACAATGGTAAATACGTACTTGAATATATTCTCAATTTATAATAATATGACTCTTATTTGACCGATTTAATTTTATATTACTTCTCTGTTATTTGTTAACATACTATTCATGTACAGAAGTAACATCATGCATTTCGTAGTAGGTGACAAACCTGTTTTTCAATGCGAGTTATGTCCAGCAACTTGCGGAAGGAAAACTGATCTTAGAATTCATGTGCAGAAATTGCATACCTCGGACAAACCATTAAAATGTAAAAGATGTGGAAAAACATTCCCCGACAGGTAAATAATAATATTTTTCTTCCCTCTCTTCTTTTCTTTTCTCCCCTAACTATTTGCTATTTGATTATAATAAATAAAAAATTAATATAAAACAATACAGCAATCACAGCAAGACGCTTTGTTTTTATGTTATAGGTATAGCTATAAGTTACATAGTAAAACACATGAAGGAGAAAAATGTTACAAATGTGACCTTTGTCCGTACGCGTCAATTTCCGCACGTCATTTAGAAAGTCATATGTTGATACATACAGATCAGAAGCCATATCAATGTGATCATTGTTTTCAGTCATTTAGACAGAAGCAGTTGCTCAAACGTCATTGTAATCTTTATCATAATCCATCTTATGTTCCTCCACCGCCACAAGAAAAAACTCATCAGTGTCCTGAATGTGAAAGACCTTTTAGGTATGTTTTTTTTTTTTTTTTCTTAAGAGATATATTTTTTGTATTTATTCTTTTGCATTAATATACAAGCAGAGGAAAGAAAATAGTACAATTATTTATTTTATCAGACACAAAGGAAATCTTATTCGACACATGGCTGTTCATGATCCAGAATCATCTTTGCAAGAAAAACAACAAGCCCTGAAGATTGGTCGGCAAAAGAAAATACAGATTATCGATGGTCAACGAGTCGAAGTCATGACAGGTATGATAATTTGCATCAGTTTGCATAAATTTATTTCATATTAAATTGTTTACGAGCATATACATAACTTTATGATTATAAAATAACACTTAATTGAGAAATGATATAATTGAGGAATGATATAATATTCATTAGTAAATAATGAAAAATTGTATGAAATTTTATATGAATAGGAAGGACTACAATGAATATATTATGTATATGTTCACTATTTTACAAGGACACTTACGATATGATGTAGATACACATCATTGACTAATATCCATGGATATATGTTGTGATAACAGGTGATTTAGCTTCTAAACTTAAAGGTTATGAAGACGAAGAGGAAGAAGACGAAGATGATATGATGGCAGTAGAAGGAAGCGATGGACAACAGTATGTTGTGTTAGAAGTAATCCAATTAGCTGACAATCAAGGCACTGATCAGGTGGATACTTTTTATATTTAAAAAAGTGCTATTACCAGTACGAGTATTATTACTCGTTAAGAAACATACATTTATGCATTTATGTTTATAGCAGATGGCTGTGGTAGCTAGCGAAGACGGAGATTTGGTGATGCAAGATCCCTTGAGTCAAGAAAATAGTATGGTAGGTGGAACAGGAGAAGATGGCTGTGAGGTTGAAGAAGATGAAAGTGATATGCACGAATTAAAAATTGAATCAGTGACATCGTGTAGCACAAACAAATCTTCATCTCAAAATACACAAAGTGATCCAAAACTGCAAAAAGAAATGGAAACATGTTTTGGTTTTGATGAAGTAAGTAATTCTATTATAGAAAGTGTTTTACAATGCTTTAGAAATGTACGACGTATTAAAAGAAATCAACATTATTATTGTTATTATCATCATTAAATATTATTTTAAAGCATTAAGCCATGTTGTTTTCTGTTTTAGGAAGAAGAGGAAGAAGAAGAAGGAAGCAGTAATATAAATATTTTACAAACTATTTCGTAATAAGAGGAAGAACAGAATGATGTACCTTTTTAATAGTCCAATCGTTCTCCTTTTGCACAGTGTCACAGTGATGTATTAAATGCAGAGACTGCAAGTTTAATATGTATTATCATTTTGAAACACTATACTGAGTTCCAAGAAAACTATTTTGGAACTATTGCGGTCCACATACGACATATGTATGGTACAAGAATCTTCTTTTGCCACTAGTGCATTAGATACATGTAATAATTTATGAAAATATTGTAGTTTTGTGGTTTAGCAGAATATCATGAAAATGTACAATTATAATAATGTAAAATATTTTATTGTCAATGAGATTTACTAACTCCTTTAAAATTGAAAATGACATTAACGAATTAAGACCGGCGTGTGTCAATATATGAAGAATTATACTAGTAATTCTAGTTTAGCACAATATTTTTAAAGAAGTTATTTGAAACTTCAAGACAATATCACCACAACTCTCGATAAGAAGGCAGAATTGTTTATTGTCAACTGCCATTAAATAGCTTATATCAAGAAGAGTCGTGTGATGTTATTTTGTAAATAATGCTTATCGTCACATTGTTTCACAAACAAATATGAAGTATTAGAATAAGTAGTATAAAATATGAATGAAGTGCTTGAGCCTTATCTATATAGATAGGCAGAATGATTAATGTGAGCATGTTCTTGAAGTATGAGAGATGTAGTCAAAAATTATGACATTTTGGAAGTATACATAGTAGTTAATATTCTTTGGTTAACCTGGAAGATATTGAGTTAATATATTGAATGTACTTTGTTTGGTAATATCGTAAAATCAATGAGTTGAGTATCTGTATTAATGATGATTATAATAGGGCATAGGTCCAACCATCACTTTTATTGCAAATATATAAAAAAACAATTTCTCTCTTATAAAAACATAATATTTTCCTAACGATAAAATAGTAATCCTTAGTTGGTATTGTGTAATCTCTGTTTATAATTAATTCAAGGTCTGATGAATAATGGTAACGTCAAACTTATATAAAAGATCACAGTAATGAAACAAATGAATTCATTATATCTTATTAATTCACAATGCATTAAGTATTCTTAGCAAATATGAGATATCTGTAGCGTTTCATTTAATTTTATTATTCTATATTACTACGTTTAGAAAATACAGTATGTATAATAAATAGAAACACTATATCATCTGAGGATTACATTATATTAGCAGTAAATAATGGTATTTCTTTCACGTCAATTTTAACAATTATCTTATTTGTATATTCTCAGTTATAATTGTTTGTTTTGATTCTATCTCACCTTATATTATATTATATTAAGTAGTAAAAATTATATATAAGTATTGCTTCCAGGTTAACTTGGCAAAGTAGGTTTATAAAATACACCATACGTTTTTTTTTTCTTTTTTTTTTAAATTCTAAGATAATCATTATAACATGTATTTATGTTTGGACGATATAAGCCCTACCATTTGATATTTATAATGCTGTTCATCGTGTTTTAGATTTGTCATCAATATTTCTTTCATATAATTTATGTTTATGATTATACATCGAATACTACTATATTATTTTGATGTAAACAAATTTTGTCTTGTAGAAATTATTGGATAATATGCGAATCTTTACTCCTTTAAAGAATACGATGTTGTAGTTCGTTGTACGTATATTGTTCCCCATAACTTGCTTTGTTCGTTCCCTGAGGTAAGATATACGAAAAATGTAAAAAGTATGTATAATTTTTTTTATACACGAACTGTACAATTGTAATCTAGTAACGGATCATCACTTTTATGCTGTTCAATATTATGCACTTTCTTACATTATTCCAAAGAAACGCAGTGTAGCATTTTCTCTATAATAAACGTTATGACGTCGATAATATTTTAGTCAATTCATTCAACGTTTTTGTGTTAAATGTTTTAGATTTACTGCACAATATATTTAAGAACAATTGTAAAAAAAAAATATGAACGACTATAAGAAAATATTTTTTGCCGGATATTATATATTTATAAAAGTTTCTAATATTTGTGTGAATATGGGTTTTAAATTAATAGGTAAATAAAAATCTTTCTTACAAAAGGTATGTAATTTAGAATGGTAAGTAAAAGGTAGTTAATAAACATTTTTCTCAAAAGTTTCTCAAAAAATATTTTCTTAATCCTTATTACTAAAGATAATAATTTGTGCAAGGATATATAAAATACAAAGAAAGTATCTGTTCTCTATATAATACAAATTTTAATTTTTATCATAATTTCTATTATTAAGTCTCATTTGCACGAATAATATTTCTAATTTAGTAGATATTATTACCTAATTATAGAGAGAAATTCTCTCTCTCTCTCTAACCTCACCCCTCTCCCCAAGCAATTTTATTAATTTTTATTAGAATCCTTTAAGATAGTGTATTTTTTATTATAAATTAAACATTATTTTTTGGTCTTGAGGCCACAGTGTTTTTACAGACGATCGTTTAAAAATAACATTGTTTTTATGCAAAATATATCAAATTACTAAAGAACTTTTCAAAAAGTATAATCTTTCTAAACGAATACAAACTTGAAATATATATAAGCACAACTTAAACAAGCATCAAATATATTCCATTGTGATATCTAATTAAAAATAATTTTATACATAAATATTAATTATCTTTCCCTTTTTATTCACGACGAAGATTTTCAAGTCTTGCTTGTAGATCGGCATCAGCATCCGCAAGATTTCCTCCGTCATCATTACCTGCAGTAGTTGCAATTGGTTTTTTTGATCCTGCTATACTTAAAGAACCAGAAGCTTGAGGAAGGCCAGACAATTGATCCGTTAATTGTAAGCCCAACTCATCTAATACTTGTGATACAACAGCATCGCTATAACCATAAATAAGTAGATGATATATACCCATTTAATAATAAATAAGATCAGCAGATCTAAATTTGATATTACCTTTCTTCCTCGTCTCCTTCATCTTCCATTGCATCGTCTATAGCATCATTCATTATTTCTTCCTTCATATCCATTATTTCAGATTGCTTTTCAAATTCTTGCAAAATTTTTTGAATTTGAGGTAAATTTAATTGTCTGAAAATAATGTATATTAAAAAAATAGTCTTTTTTATTCTATGTAATTTATGTAGCCACAATAGAAATATGTTATTACTTATTCATATTCTGCATCGCTTTCGTAACACCTTTCATTGCTTGAGCCATAGTGTTTTGAGAACGTAATGTCTGAATTTTTAAAGAGACTGCTTGTATATTTGCTTTCATTAACATGAATTTCTTTACATATCGTCTGGTCCTAACAAGATCTTTGGCCATGATTTTAACAGCATCCTATGGATAGTAAATTTAATTACAGTCAATTAATAAGCAGTAATAAATGTTTATTTTAAATTTATAAAAATATAGCTTTTAAAATATAGCTTGTAATATTTATACCATCTGTCCATCTTTTGCAAGTTTTTTTATATCTGCTATAATCTTCTTTTCTTGCTGTTCCATTCTCATTCTTTCTCTGTCAAGATCACGCATTGCTTTATTTAATGCTCTTTGATTTTTCCTGAGCATTTCTTCAGGAGTTATACGTTTTCCAAATAACCACTCCATACCTAATAAAATATCTCATAAAATAAAATATATATTGACATATATATTGTAAATATCTTATACATACTTATTTCTTTTTTTAGAATCCTATATTAGCCTTGATTTTTTTATTTGACTAGTACAGTTCATCAAACTGCGTAAGAATTATATAGCATATAGCAATTGTATAGAAAAACTTGCTATATATTATATTAAAGATATAAAAGCTATCAAGTTACAGAGAAGTAAATAAACGCAATGTGCCCATGGACTTTTCCTGTAAACATATAGTATATAATACATTAATTATTTCATACTTAATTTCTGTTCAAATTACAATTTTGTTATTAATACTTTTAGATTACTTTAAGTGAATTGGTTTACCTACAAGATGCATTATACGCCAAGAAATTATCTTAAGATGATTTTTAAATGCAAATTAAAAAATAGTAATATACATACATGCATACATACATATATATATATATATATATATATATATATATATATATATAAAACTACCGTACAATACAATTAAAGTGAAATTTTAATTACCATACAATAGAACGAAATTATCCAAATAAACAATTAGTTTTGATGTATTAGTTCACCAATGAAATATTTATGGATGAAAATAGGATTGTAATGATTATCAATCTATTGAAGTAAAATTGTGAAACGATTTTGAATCTTTTCCAATGAATTTTTTTCAAGGAAAAATATTCAAAATTTTTATTGCTTGTCATGATGATAAAAAATTATGTTGACATGTAAACGTATGACAAAAACGTAAAATAATCGGAAATTTTGATTTGACAACCAAAGCGCCAGGAAACTAATAAACGTATGAAATTCACTATAATATCTCTTCTTTCTTACGTCTTATAATATCATTACATTTCTTTCATATTAACATATGTTACACTTACTATAACAGAGTGTTCTTGTAAAAAATGTCATTAAAGAACACAATACAGTTAACAACTTTATCTTTAAGTCGGAACGTATAGTAGTGTTCTCTTTAAAGGAGGAACACATACCATAATGACGCATATCTTAAAGTAGCAGATAGTAGAAACATAAGTTATATATTTGTATTTAATGTAATTAAATTTTCTGAACTATAAAATTGAGAATTTCTGAAAATTTATTAACCAATGATAAAATAAAATCCTATACGTACTTGCCTGTTATAACCAATCTACGAAAACTTATATATAAATTGTAATCGATCATTTTGAATTGATCATTTTTATAATGATATTTCTTAAAACTACCAATCAAAACGTAAGCATTGCCTGCATTTTTATCGCTCATGAAAAATCGCCATAAAATGGCCGCAACCGAAGAGATATTTTTTTACGCGTTTATCAAGACCTCGATTGATCGTCAATAAAATTCATTTCCTTTCAACGATTACAAGATGCAAAATTATATTTTAACTTTAAAGAAAAAAATACACTTTTATCGTAATAATGAAATGTCGACAGCCATTTTTAAGTTTCGACTGAATTGGACAATAACTGCGATGTTTTTAGAAATGTCATTTACATGATTGTTTATCCGCCATTTTGTTTTACTGCCGTACGCGCAGTTTTTAGTGGCATTGTGGCTTGCTTTAATATGAATTTATGTCATTGAACTTGATCGAATTGGGTTTTGTGCCCTTATATTTACAGATCTTGCAAAAAAACGTGCTTTCTGAATAATGTGAAAATCATATTATTGGGGCGATACCATAATGACAATCCGTGAGAAGGTGCCCCGTCTTTTGACCCAGCTTTCCTGACTTTTGAGGCCAAATGGCGATTACCAAATAAAACGAATGATTTTCGCCCCATTTGTCAAGTAAGTTTAGAACAAATACCACTTGTTAATATAAAAATCTGAGAAATTGTTTCTATTGAATCCTAACAAATGTTTCTCTACATGAGCGACCTCAAAGATAATTTGAATCGTGATACTTTATATCGACACAGCTATTGGCTTAAATTAAAACGTAGTCTGTGTTAGACTAGATTTCTCCAAAACATTGTAAAATCTTTTTCAATATTAGAGAAACTTATAATCGTAATTCTTTGTGATATTACATTTATTATGTTTATTAAAATATTACATAGGCTATGCCTAACATTATTGACACTTTTCTATTACACGATGTAGATCATAACAGTGAAGGTTTTTCAGGGACATTCAGAATTTCATAAGTTAATCTTTAAGTAGGTATTTTATCGTCATGTGTGCCGAATATAAAAAATATATTTCTGATGTATATCCTTATATAAGAAAATCTTCCATAATTCATTACTTTTTATCATATAACATGTTGTTTGACAAAATCATATTTAGGTTATCATTATCATTAATGTTTAATTTTTAAATAAATGTATATAACTTGCAAGGGAATATAAATTATTACTTTATTTATTATACTACTGTTAACATTTCTTTTTATTAAAAAAGAAATAGTACATTTTATAATTTATAAATTTTGCCATAAAAGGAATGTTTTTAATAATTCATTAATACTAATTACTAATTCTAAAACAGTTGTATGTTTTTTTAGAATGTCAGGGCAGAGTGGTGGACATAAATTACGTTTGTCCAAACTTAATGAACAACTAACATGTAAATTATGCGGTGGTTACTTCATTGACGCTACCACCATCATTGAATGCTTGCACTCGTGTAAGTGATTTTTTGTTAACACATACCAATAGATACATTTGATTTATGATTATACATATTTTTACATTATACATTTGTTTTAGTTTGTAGGAGTTGTATAGTAAAATATTTGGAGAATAACAAATATTGTCCAATTTGCGAAGTACAGGTCCATAAAAGTAAACCTTTGTTGAATATTAGACCGGATTACACATTGCAGGATATTGTTTATAAACTTGTACCTGGTTGCTATCAAAGTAAGATTATTAATTACTTGGATGGAAATATAAAAGGAGTCTATAGTTATTTAGATTTATAAATATTATATTATTATATTTTAGACGAGATGCGATGTAGAAGAGAATTTTATTCGAAGCATCCAGAAGAACGAAGTCAAGTACTATCTCCTGAAGCACGTGGAGAACCTATAGAATCACACATATATTCACCAGATGAATCTCTCAGTCTTTCATTACAATATTTTAATCCACAGTCAAAAGATACTAGTGATGCAAATATAACTAAGGAAGCAGTTGCAAAATTGTTACCACGTAGATATCTTCGTTGTCCAGCCGCAGTAACAGTATTTCATTTACAGAAATTAATCAGGGCTAAATATGGTCTCCGTGATGCACATAGAGTTGATATAATGTATAAAGAGGAACCATTGAATGGAAGTTATACATTAATGGATGTCATGTATATTTATCACTGGAGGCGGGTGAGCAATTGTTTGTTGATTATTCAAATTATTTACATTTTAATTATATATATGATACAATATGATGATAAATTGAATAAAGATATTGTATATATATATTAATTTCAGAAAGTGCCATTACATCTAAGTTACAGAATATTTGAATCTTCTCCAAAACGTATAAAATTGTCGGAGGATAACGTTAATTATAAAAAGTCACTTATTAACACTGGAATAGATTATGTAGAAGCAGAAAATCAACAATTGAATCGTGAATGGAAAGAAGTTCAATTAAAAATATCTGAAGCAGGTGTGATGAGTATTACTGATATATCGAATCCTGGGTTAAAGAGAAGTACAAGAATAGAAGAAGTGAGAGATCAAGTAGGACTGGAAGGAATTATATCAACTGTTGAAACTGCACACAAATCTGAAACATTGTTGACAAATCTAAGTTGTAATAAAACTATTGAAGATACTACGGAAGCTATCCTAGAAAGCGACATGCATGTTATAAAGAGTTCCAATATTTTTTTGAATTTGAACAACTCTCCATCTACTGCAGCAAGTGACCTTATTTCTGAAACAGATTCGACAAGTTCTTTAAATGCTGCTTGTGCTCCCATTCATAATTCGCAAAGGGTAAACACCGAGATGAAAACCCTTAAACATACACAAGACATTAGTACAACTTTACAAGTGAAAACTGTACAAGAAACAGATGACGCTACATTGAACAATAACGTACATACTTCACCTTCGCATGCGGAAAAGAGTCCAGTGCGTGTTCATAAAACATCAAATCCAGCAGAGGAAAGCAAAAATGAAACAGATCATATAAATACTGTAAATGTAGAAGGTAAAGAATTGCCAGTAACTAATATCAATAATAATATTAGTACAGGAACGAAGGCTGAAAGTGAGAAGTTTCATGTGAAAAGTGATGTCAAAACAGTAAACACAGGATCGAAGATTGATGCATTAAGCGCAAAATTACAGTTTCAACCAAAAATAACTCATATTAATAACACATATTCGAAGAAAGAGAAGAAAGAAAAGAAAGTCTATTTGCACAGTGACAAAAAATTAGATACAAAACAATCAGAACACGTGCAGCCTTCTATGGATATGAAGAATTTGCTAGATAATCATAATACAAAAACACGAACAAATACTACAATATCTTTATCGAAAGTGACAACTTCGCAAAATACAATAGTGCAACAAAATCAAACTGGGTCATCAACGGCACAACATACAAGTTTATTAATTTCCTCTTCTGGAGTCGCAGTTTCCAATGTGCCGCAAGATACATCTGAGAAGAATACGTCGACACAGTGTAGCCAAAATGCAGCAGTCACCGTACAACAAGCTTTAAGTTTACTCGACCAAAGGATAAATACTTCGGAACGGTCTTCCATAGAGTCTACTGTAGAAGTAAGTCAACTAACAAACGCGAACGCGAATGTGAAAGTACAACAAGTACGGAATAACAACAACACATTATTAAACGAAAGCTCTACATGTCTTAACCATAATATAACAACACCCGCAACGAGTCAAACAACTTTAACATTTCCGTATACAGTCCAGGATATAGTGAATACTACGATTTTAAAAAGTCCACAAAAGAACTCTAATATTTGTTCCACTCAGAAACTAACGTCTTTACCTGTAAGTAGCGAAAGTATGAATATTTCTTGCACACCATCAGATAATCAACTATGTTCCATACCGCATATAAATATGCAAGCTCCATCTATGAGTATTTATTCTATATCCACTACATTAAAAAATAGCTATTCTAATGTTACTCAAAGTACAACAACAACAACAACAACAACAACAACAATGGCGGCAAGACAAGAATTATCCAAACCTAATTTTGAAATAAGTGGGGTTTATTCAGTGCCACCTTGTCCAGATGCTATACCAATATCGCTAATGAAACCATTTGTACGTAAGCATGAAGTAATAGCAAAGGGCACGAACTTAAATGAAATTTGCGCTAAGATTGGTACATCAGGTTCTAAGATAAATGATATTTGTGCAAAAATTGGAGAGAATTCCAAAGAAAAAAATAAGGCTGAAGGGCGCAATAAATCAGATATTCCAGATTTACTTAAAATAGCAAAGAAAGGAACGGCAATTGTTCCTGAATCAACAGTTAAACACATACCAAATATTCCTAATGTACCAATATTTAGTCCTAATACTAATATACCCACAGAAAGTAAGAATACTCATATCACTGTTAAGGACAATACTAACACGGCTCCAATAACATCGACGTCCACATCCACATCAGTGCCAACATCTCATGGATCACAAAAGATTTCTTCTCTTAAGAAACAAAATCAATCGAGTGGATACAAAACATTACGTGATCCACCAAAATCTTGGAATCCTACGTTATCAAAAAATAATTATGTTGCAGTTAAAAATCAGACAAAAGAAATGCAAAGTACACAAAGTGCTGTTTCTGAAGGAACAAGTAAACACATTCCATCCAAGCCTGCAAAAATTTTTAAAATGAAAAATATGCCACGGTATTTAGGTAATCCAGCATCAGGTGTAAAACCAATGTACGGTATTACAAACGAGACAAAAGAGAAAGAACAGACAAGCTCAAAAGGCACTAGTTTAAATATGATGAAAATTGATCCGAAAACATTATCGCCAATTGTTTCAACCTCCAATTCTCCCATTGTTTCTCCACCACCTTATTCACCTAATGCACGCAGCTATCAGAATACTCCATTTTCAAGAGAAATATGTAGGAATACAAATTCACCAATATCACCAAGAAATTCACCAGTTAATATGCTATCAACTAATCCATTCATACCATCTCCTACACCAAATACAAATCCAAGGTTAATATATTCACATTTTCCTCCACCTTTTCCTGATCCAAGCGGATTTCCAAATCCATTAATAAGATCACCTATTGGCATTCCTCCTCCTAGTG